AACTGCTGAATGAGCAGAGTCTCTGGTGGTGAGCAATAAGTCACGGAAGAAGTGACTGTACGAATCATCAGGTATAATTCCAATTGCAATGCCGTAAGTGAAGACGTACACAGAGAGTCATCTCTAGCAGCTGTCAATGAGGAGAATGTAAGGAGTGCTAGGAATCGCAACCTGGCGATACGGGCGAACATGAGAGACGACGAAAGCACCAACCAGCCAGTGGTGGTAGAGGTAGAAGTGAGGATAGATACACGGGCTGTCGATCCTGTCCAGTCTGTATTTTCAGCTGCGGATCATGATAAAGGATACTCCAAATGAGTTGCATGTTGAAGGCGTGTTGTTTATTGTTCCATTGTACTAACCGTTATTATTGTTGTTAAAAGCTGTGACTACAAATTCTTTTGTTCTCCGTTTGCAACGGAGTTGTGTAGCGAGGTACCTATAGCTTAGCTTGCCGAAAACCAGCGTTAAATGAAAGACAGGGAGAGGTGCTTGTGCAATGGGGGTAGAGAACGTTGTAGAGGCTGCAGCCGCATAAATATTTCCATTGAAATAAATAAAAGTGATTTGGAACGAGTGCCGCTCGGCTTGGCCAAAAGGAAATATAGGGCCACAGCCGAAATCGGGTGAGAAGCGTTAGTGGCAGTGCAGCAATTCACACTTACTTCTTAGCGGCCTCATGTTTCCACAGCCGCGGCACGCATCTAATGAGGCGTTTTCCTGTGTTCCTCGTCTCTTGAAGGTGTGGAAAGAGCGCTGCACCATGCGTATATATGTTAGAACAGCAGTCTTAAATGATAAATTCTTATATAATAAACATGCTTATATACACGTGTCACTTAGTAATGATACGTGCGATAAGCTCCACCATCACCCCATGTTCACTAATTTCAGTTCAACATGGCACAGTGGTCATAATTACCTGATTGATTCGCGCCCCACCATGCAGGGAACAGGTGAGCGTTCCCACCAGCGCCTTGCACGGCAAATGAGAGGATGAACACCATGACTTGAGTGCCTCCGTCAAGGGCTGCATCACTTGATTAGTCGAGGGTCCCGAATGACGTTCCAGAATACTCACCAGCTCCGATAATGTAGTTGTATTTGGCAAACCAGCGAGGGTGGCGTGTACGCAGCCACCATTGCGAGAAGAATGCGACAGCGAAGTAAGAAAGAATGGAGGAATTGATTCCAACACAAAGCCATCCGATAAAGTAGCTGTGAAATATGTGAACATGCTGTTAGTAATTCAGGAAACACTGAACGTACGCGATAACTGGAGTATAAAGATAATCTGCGCGAAGTTTTGGCCAGTACCTGTGGATGACCCAGAACGGAACAGGGATGAAAAGTCCAACTAGGTACGCCCAAGGAACCCATTGGTATCTTTGGCCTGCGGAAAAGAGCTCGTGACTGAGTCCACCCCACGCAATTGCCTGAGAGTTGTATTGCTGAGGTTGTTGGCCGGACCAGATATTGGTTCCTTGGACAGACAACAAGATTTCACGTTGGTTATCTATGATTGAATTCATCATGACTACATGTGCAATATCAGTTAGTTTTTATGTCATGTAACAAGTGATGTACGCACAGAAGTTCAAGATGGCACCAAGCAGCGTGCCAATAATCTGAGCAGTGAATGCAGCACGAGGTGGCAGCTTTGCATCTGTAAATTACGGTCAACACAGATTGCCATGTTCGCCTACGGCGTGAAATATACACACACTGAGCAATCTTGAGGTCGCGGAGTAGTAGTTGGGCTTGGCTGACAGTGTCTGTAACATTGGGTTAGCCGACCTGTTCTCGGACCGCAAGACTGATACATACTGTATCCGTATAGAACGAAGTACATATTTGCCACTGTAGCATTTGTCAATCAAACATATTAACGGCGAGCAAGGCAATCACCTGGCATCCCGCTGTGAAGGTAACCACCAATCATCTGGATAAACCTGAATGCGAATTGTGATATCGAGGATCAAAATTGAATTCAAGGACATACGGCTGGATGATGAGTCCAAATCCTGTAATAGCGGCGAGTGCACCGAAGAACAGAATGGAAATCGTCGCCAGCAAGAGCGAGATAATGAAGCCCCACCTTCACTGCCAATCAGCCTGGACCACATTTCCGATAACAGCTACTCACCATGGCAAAGTCGAATTGCTCTTGTATATAACCACCAGGGAAACAATGAAAGACAGGAGGAAAACGACGAAGTACCAGCTATTGGGAGCATCGGGGTACTATTACAGAGATGTTCATGTTTGAAAGCTGAATGCACAGAAATGCAAAACTAACCTTCAGCATTTGCTTGTAGTGGGGATCGATATTTTCATCATCGACATCTTGCTTCCGCATTCCGTCTGCTTTCCAGAACTTCCAGTCAAAATTCGCCCACATTTGTTTGAGGCTTGACGGTGTCATCCAGCTCCATGCAGAGCGCAAGTCATCCCGGTTCCAGAGGAGAAGATGGGTAAACGTGGCTGCCAAACCCTAGGATTTCAAACTATCAGTCCGCAGTGTTACCGACATTTGGTGAACTTGCCAAATTTGAGGCGAGCAAGTAGACTATCCAAGTGCTGGAATAGTAAGGTAGACCTTGTTCAGCAAGGAGTGTGGGGTCGACTTCATAGTTGGCATTGAGAATAAGTGTTTGATCGTACTGTGTTCCGTTTTCGTAGAACAAGAGTTGAGAAAGCTGTGGGGAGTTGGCGTCAATGTTCTGCCGTTAAATGTGAATATAGACTAACGAATGGGAAACTCTGGGCCATCCAGATGTTCTTGTAATACACAGCAACAAACACAACCCTGGACAGATGTAAGTCAATGCAAGGTCTTGAATCAGGGCGGAGGGATCGCACATGCAAAGAATGTAGCCCAGGAGATTCGAGAACTGTTCAAGAAATATGTAAGTCGTCCGGCTCGCGGACTTGGAAAAAGGTCATACCTGTGCTTTGAGCGGGATAGTCATAGGGTTCACCCCGCCAGAGATATACTGTGGCAGATCCCGTCAGTAACACAATCCACTTTCAAAGTTCGTATTCACTCACTTGCCAGTCAAAGCAGATAGACAGGAGTCCCAGACCCTCGTTTCCGTTGCTGCCACCAAACACTCGCGAGACGGCAGCATTGTTTGGAGCTGCAAGACAGATGATGGAGAACCCGGTCAGAAGCGGGAATATCCATTCTGGGAAAAGCTCCCAAATGAAGATACTGAGTCGATCAGCATGTTTGATCATTGTCGGTTTTAATATTAAACTTACGCAGCAAACACCATGTAAAAGACTCTAAGCTTCTTCCGCGCTTCCATCCCGCCCTCGTAGAGAGCATCGAACATGGACAACAATGGTAGCACAGTAGGATATAACATCTTTGATGGATACAACAGGACGCCTGGTAGAGGTATGTAAACACCGAGTTCAATAAGAGATTTAATTGTGGACATACCTCTCATCATGCCACCAATTCCATAACTAAGAACCTAGTTAGCGCCCGCTTGAGCTTTAAGACACATTCTCGTACCCAAGAAGTTGAGAAGAGAAGAGCAGGAAAATCGAAGCAGCAGGATTGGGCGTGATGTTGTAATACAATCTTTAGCAAAGATAAGTAAATTCTGTCAATATGAGTAATGCTCACTGACCGCTGGACAGCAAGAACTTCGGTACCTAAGGCGGAGTTGGCAGAAGCGCTTGCCATGATCACAATGAAAGCATTTTCTTTCTTGTTGAATGGTCCCTGGGAAAGATATTTAGAAAAAAGCAACGGACGTGGGTAAATTGCTTTACAGGGTTCAGGTAGCGCAGGAATCCGCGGCGAGGAATAAAAGTCTCCATGAAGACGCCCATGACATAAGATACGACCGCAAGGAACATCAATGACACTAAAACCGTTTGCTGTGACAATGATGTTGAGCACATAAAGTTGACATGCTTGTTCTACTACGCACGGGCTTGAAATAATATATTTCCGCTATAAATTGACATTGATGAGTATCACAGTGGATAAAAAACAAATTCAAAGAAGCTCACCGAGTACTCCACCAAAGGCTGAGAGGCCAAGACCAATAAAGAAGGAACGGAATGTCCACGGGTTCAGAGAAGGATCGTCGTCCACCGAGATGACGTGCGTAGCAATATCACGTTCATCGGAGAGCACGCCTTCCTCGCTGTTAGCATCGACTGTTGCGGTTTCGACGTCGCCTTTGTCGTCGAACGATTTGTCACTAGTGCTAAGAGCTTTCTCGCTGGGCACATCGTGCCCGCTGATCGCTTCTGTAGCGGTCAAGCTCATCGTAACAAGACAGTACTGCACAAACTGCACGAGAAGTTTTAGCACGACTATATGTATTTACCTGATATGCAGATAAGCGACTATTCTCGTAACTGGAAGTCCAACTGTTCGGTACGGTCATGGCTATGGGACCCGTGTACGGACATGTAGTACGCGTGGAGTCCTGAGTGTGTCTCGTGTGAGATAAGAGGGTGCCCCTTGGAGTATAACAGAAATAAACTTTTTCGGCATTTTACACCTCCAAAAGTACAGGCCTGGGGGAACTTACCATTGAGCAGCTACTAAATTGGCTTCATAGTGGCAGAGCATTGCGTTTTGATGTCTTTCCGGCAGGATTGCCCTGGCTCATGCACTGTGAGTGAGTCGGTAATACCGGCGGCCGGACCATGCTATCTCGCACGGAACCAATTAAATCATTCTCACTTCAGGAGGTGACGCATGTGCATAGCGGGGTTGTATCGAGGTGAGTGCACATTGTATTTGTCATTCAATGTCACAAGCCGCATGCTCCAGCAATATTTCAAATTTTTAGGTAACAGTACCTTTTCTCTTGCCGTCTTTGCGCAGCTTTGCACCTGCTCAAAAATGGTTTCCACGCTCGCATACGCGTGGACAGTTGTGCTGAGGACATGAAACGTGTGAACGAGTTGACGGTTCAGGCATGTTATTCTTTTGAGCGTGCTCACCCGAGACACTTATTTTCAGTTACTAAATGTTACCCGCAATGCGGTGGCATAGCAACAAAGAAGGGATCGACAACAGTCAAACGATACAGAGTTCAATCACGGTGTTAAGCAGAAGAACGACCTTTCCATAACCGTCCGCCATTCTCTTCTTGCTCCCAACGCAATAACTCCTGCTCATCCCAAACCTTGTCCGACAGATCTCCAACCTCCTTTAAAAAATTATCGCCGCGAAACGCAATCGGGAGGAACTCATTGTGCACGGGGTGCCTGTGGATATAGGAGAGTTAAACGATACTTCATCGAGCATTCCCGAAGTGCTGACGCACCGAAAACTTGGGTTATAATTATAGCCTTCTGCATAGCCAAGCTCCTTCATGAGGGCTGTCGGAGCATTACGGGCCACCATGGGTACAGGCATTGTCGGGTCTAACTTTGCCGCTACCTCCGCTCGGTTGTATGCCTCGTACGCGCGAGTACATTTCGGCGCTTCTGATAAATAACCTACGCAGTGTGCTAGATTGATTCGGCACTCGGGCATACCGATAACCTGGCAAGCTTGAAGAGCTGCCATTGCCTGGAAATGTTCGATTGGGATCTGCCTTGAGTTATTTGTTGACATACCAAAGGAAGGGCATGCGCATCAGCCAGCCCAATATCTTCGCTTGCACAGACCACCAATCTTCTCGCGATATACAACGGGTCCTCTCCTCCTGTCAGCATCCGTGCTAACCAGTACATAGCAGCACTACCCTGGCTACCGCGAATGCTCTTGTGAAGCGCTGAAATCATGTCGTAGTGGCTCTCCCCTACACGATCGTAAGAAGCAGAGACACTTCGGCGTAATGATGCGAGAAGGGCATGTTCATCTCTATCTGGTTTAGAAGCCAGAACAAGCTCTAATAAAGATAACGCAGTCCGGGCATCTCCCATAGAAAGAGATACGATGGAAGAGATGACACGGTCTGTGAGTTGAGCGTACGGCAGAGGTGGACCATTGCAACTCATAGGCGCCTGCGAGGATTGAGACTGAGATCGAGACAGCGAATTTTGCGATGTCATGGGTTCTGTACCCACCGGCGGGCTAGCCGCTCTTTCAGTTTCTGGCTGTTCACAGTCACGAGGGGAGGATGCCAAGACTCGCTCTACAGCACTGGAGATAATACCTCGGATATCATCATCTGTTAAACGCTCAAGTACTAACACTCTGCAAAAGTTGGTGCTTGAAATGAAACATAACATCTTTACTCACCTGCAACGACTCAGCAAGGCGCCTGTCAGCCTGAATGACGGGTTCTCGGTTGTCGCTCCGATCATCTTCCATTTTGTTAATAGTCAAGAAGTCTTCATTGTATTACATACTTGTATTTGGCCTTGCTCAATACATGGAAGGAAGACATCCTATTTATTCGCTTCAGAATCATCAGCGAATGTATTCAGAAGAATAGTACCTGTTGTGCCTTATTGAATCGATGGACCTCGTCCAGAAACAGTATTGTTTTTCTGGGATAAGCCAAGTCAACGAAGTAAAATGCGAGGGAAGTTCTGCCTTACCTTCCAGTCAATGAAAGAGTTGCTTTAGCCTCTTCGAGCACTGTGCGAACATCGTTCGTACCAGAAGAAGTAGCGCTTAGCTCCCTGAAATTGCAGTCCACGTGCCGTGCCAATAATCTTGCCAAAGTGGTCTTCCCACAGCTCGAGGCGTGTCAATAATAAATTCAATGATGACATAGTTGGATTCCTTCACCCAGGTGGTCCCCATAATATAAGACTACCAATAATACCACTGTCCAACATACTCATCAGAAGAGACTCAGGGCCAGTTAAGTGCTTCTGCCCGAAAAATTCATCCAGGCATTTTGGGCGAAGCCTTTCCGCAAGAGGCACGGAAGACTTGAAGTTAGAGGGCGTGTCCTTGAAGCGTTTGCTCGACACTGATGACACTTGAAACTTTCGTTTCTTGGAAGTTGTGGGCGTGTCTTGGGTCATCGATGGAGGTACTAAAGGGTCGTCAGCTAGAGTGCTGGTGTGCTTGTCACGAGTCTGGCTGAATATCGGTGCCAACTTCTTAAGTGCCGTGTTTTTGGGCCGAGATGAGGGTTCTCCTTGAGGTGCCACATGAATACTACAGCCGCTGTCCAGATGTTTATTGATGTTCTCCTCCAGAACAGGCTGCAGACATATTGGACTTGCAATAAAGTGTCAGTAGTATGATGCTTAGGGTAAATCAAATGACTGACCAAGATACTGAAGACGGAAGCCTTGGTCGTCGGTGTGAGCACAGGGGATGTCAAATACGGTGGCGTACCTGAAGGCATGTGATCGTTCAGAGCAGGGGTAAGTCAAATCTATCAGCTTTGATACGCTAATCAAAATTTTGACAGAGTCCTACACGTACGAAAATATTGAAGCTGAATAACAAGATTTTGTCAAGTGCGTGTTAGTAATAGGTCTGTTTATGTAACATGTAGTCAGCCGTTTATTGTTTATCAACGGTGTCCCGGGTCCCAGCTCTCGCGCGAGGCATTGCAATATTTGTTCTAGATCATGGGCTATTATGCAACTCATTCTTGTTGGTTGATTTGCATATCTCAAGCTAACGATGCCAGCCATCGATGCCAACGGTATTCCTGCATCAGAAGTGCGACCTTATCATGTTCTCATAACTGGCTTTGGTGTGAGTTGCCTTGGAGCCTTACTTGCTCTCACCCTTTCAAACGCGCGCCTAACTGTCAGCGAACCTAGCCGTTCTCTCGCTATGCGGTCAATCCATCATGGCTGGCCGTCAAGCCACTTCACAACACCATTTTGACCATCGATTCGCTTGATGAAACCGTTATATTTGATGATCAAAACCCTATGGCCGAAGCAAATAGCTTTACCCAGGAAACACGCGAGATTTATCTATCTACTCTTCAAGTCCCCGTAACATACGAGGATGTTCTTGCCATTGTACCCGGACTGCACGCGCGACCACCTGTTCTTCCTCCTTCTGCAGATCCTGACCTCCCAGACATCATATTGCCAGCAGATGGATTCGATCTCATCTTTCACGTAGGTGTCGCTGGGAGAGGACCACTGCGAATGGAGAGGGTTGGACATAAGTTTGGCTACAACATGAAGGATGCCACTGGTAGCCATGCGCCGATCGTAGCGCGTGACGCGTGAGGAAACCTCTAATTCCAATCGCGGTCAATCAGAACCTTCGGAGATGGAGAGGATGGAAAGAGCACGCTTAAGTGAATACCTCATTGAACCACCTGTTGATGGTACAGAACCACCTAAGCGTGGATTTGGAAAGGGATACGAGTCCTTCTCCGAGGAGATTTTCACAGAAATTGATGTCGAGAAGCTCGTGCATCACCTCAAAAAGTCGGGTGTCGAGGTGAGAGTGATCTGCTTGTATCTTGTCAGGAATATTGACATGGTTTGGGAAGCAAATATATTCGTCCCTGGATGCAGGACACTATCTTTGCGACTTCATATATTACTGCTCACTAGCCGAGAGTAAACGAGCAAGCGGGAAGGCTGATAAATCGACCACTAAAGTCATTTTCCTGCATTGTCCACCTGTTGATCAACCTCTGAGCACAGAAGAGGTAACGGAAGCCATCAAGAAGTCTGTCATCTGGTTGTGTGGGACTGCAGCAAAGTCTGTGATTCCATCTACTTAATTAACATACCGTAACAGCAGTACCAGGGAACTCGGCAACGTTACATAGTTGACATGGGACTTTGGAGTACTGTGTAAATACCGAGGATGTATATGATCTCTGCACCAGTACATGTGGAATGTAGAAAATGATCACTGGACAGGGGTGTTGTTCGCATCGGGGACAATTAGAAATCATGATTGTAATCTGGTGGAGCACGATTGACTGTGATCTTATACCGCAATCTCCAAAACTGTAGCCATGTCCATGCATATTTTCGGTCAACAGGTAGGCTCTGGCAGCTTGATGCTTTTGCACATCGTGTGATATCTAATGTTCTGCAGGCAACAGAGGAGAAAGCTGAAAATGCTCGTCTATCTTCTTTCGTCGGCGCCCTCGCTCTCGGCGACCTCGTGAAATCAACGCTTGGGCCAAAAGGCATGAATAAGATTCTGCAGTCGGCATCCTCAGGAGATATTCAGGTGACCAATGACGGTGCAACGATCCTGAAGTCCATCCAGCTCGACAACGCAGCCGCCAAGATCCTCGTCAACATCTCAAAAGTCCAAGACGACGAAGTCGGAGATGGAACAACGAGCGTGTGTGTGCTAGCAGCAGAGCTGCTGAGGGAAGCAGAGAAGTTGATTGCAATCAAAATACATCCTCAGACGATTGTGGAGGGATACCGGGTCGCAAGCATTGCTGCGCTTGCGGCACTGGAGAACGCAGCGGTCGATCACGCGTATGTTTTCGCGTTTTTTTTGGTGTTGCCCTCGGATTGCTTACGCGTACGACTTGGTTTGCTCCCTCAAATAGCTCCGATGTTGCTCAGTTCCGCCAGGATCTTTTCAACATCGCCCGCACGACCTTGTCATCAAAAGTCTTATCACAAGAAAAAGATTACTTTGCAAACCTAGCTGTAGATGCTGTGCTTCGATTAAAGGTATATTGTAAACGCTGTATATGACACTAGCTCTGACTGTCTTCTAGGGGTCAACAGATCTGGAGCACATCCAGGTCATCAAAAAGGTCGGAGGCAAACTCACAGACTCATACCTTGACGAAGGTCTGCCGAAAGACGCAATGAATCTTACTCATCTCACGACCGTAACTCATACAGGTTTCATTCTCGACAAAACCATTGCTGTGAACTCCCCTAAACGGATGGAGAACGCAAAAATTCTAATTTCCAATACTTGTATGTGTGGGTTCAACTCGCATTGATCTGGAACTGAAGCCTAGTTCCTCAAAAGCAATGGATACTGATAAGATCAAGATCTTTGGAGCCAGAGTAAAAGTTGACTCCACCGGAAAACTTGCTGAGCTTGAACGGGCTGAACGGGTACAAACACACTTTTATGGCCTTTTCAATTTTCCTAATGACGCATTATAGGAAAAAATGAAAGCTAAAGTCGACGCGATCGCCGCACATGGTATTAATTGCTTTGTCAATCGACAGCTCATCTACAATTACCCCGAGTCTCTCTTGGCAGAGAAAGGTATCATGGTGATTGAGCACGCCGATTTTGAGGGTGTTGAGCGGCTATCACTCGTCACTGGTGGTGAAATCGCAAGCACGTTCGAAAAACCAGATCTTGTGAAGCTTGGGAAGTGCGATTTGATCGAGGAAATCATCATCGGCGAGGATAAGGTTGGCGTCATTATCTCATTGATGATTTGAGCTGATCAGGATTTGCAGCTTATAAAATTCTCTGGTGTTGCTGCGGGCGAAGCTTGCACTGTTGTGCTTCGTGGTTCAACCAATCAGATGGTTGACGAGGCCGAGCGCTCGTTACATGATGCACTTTCTGTCTTATCGCAAACAGTCAAAGAGACCCGCATTGTCTTGGGCGGTGGATGTTCCGAGATGTTAATGAGTTGCGCTGTGGAGGAGGCCGCGCGGAAGGTCAAGGGCAAGAAGGCAATAGCTGCCGAGGCATTCAGCCGTGCTCTGAGGCAAATACCGACTATCCTCGCGGACAATGCTGGCTATGATTCGAGCGATCTCGTTGCCAGGCTGAGAGCCGCACATTATGAGGGACAGTCAGATGCCGGGCTCGGTATGATCGTGTACTTTTCAGGCGTGGATTTCGAACTTAATAGGATCTTCAGATATGAATCCAGGGCACCATTGGCTCGATGAGACAATTAGGTGTTACGGAGAGCTATAAGCTGAAGCGGCAGGTTGTGCTCAGCGCAAGCGAGGCAGCAGAGATGATAATAAGGTATGTAATGTACTATCCGGACCATGATCTGTTATTTAACTTTGAATGTCAACAGGGTGGATGATATTCTACGTGCATCGCCTCGGAGGCGTGAAGCAGTATGAGTAGAGTGATATTATTAGTATCACATTTGATAACTCTAGCAGCAATACCTTAGTATACTTCAAGAAACCCTTTTCCAAGTTGTTGTGAATATGATGCAGCGCAGCTATACCTGTAGAAACAATCTTCCCAATGAACTGCTGCCACATGAATATTTGAATAGTCAGCGACCCTAGTACTATATATATCACTCAGTCATGCCGTCATACTGAGCCTAGATTGCGACATCAGTCATTTATACATGGGGAATCGGGAGTCCGGTCACGGAGAGCTGGATATAACACAGTGAGTCACTGAAGCTATTCTACTTATTCCTCCAATAGTACTGATATGTCAACGAACATTACTTTCCATCCAGGTGTGTTCTTGGAACGCCTTTTATCCATAAGTAAAATACTAAGGTTTATAGGATCCGTTGATGCCCAAGAACGCGTTGACTTGCTTCAACAGACGGGCGTCACTATTTGGCTGACTGGACTCAGTGCTAGTGGGAAGGTCTGCTACTGTCTCATCTTACAACTGGTGCTCTGATTCCTTCGCAGTCGACGATAGCATGTGCTCTCGAGCAACATCTACTCCACCTACACAAATTCACCTATCGGTTAGATGGAGACAACGTTCGCTTAGGGCTCAATAAGGACCTTGGTTTCGATGAGAAGTCTCGGGTAGAAAATATCAGGCGCATAGGCGAGGTACTACATCAGGAGTCCAGGACTATGAGCACGTCCTTACCTTTCTTTGAAGGTCTCCAAACTATTCGCGGATTCTGCTTGCATCGCGATCACAGCTTTTATATCGCCCTACAGAACAGATCGACAAGTAGCCCGCGAACTTCATGAGAAAGGAGGCCTCGGGTTCATTGAAGTGTTTGTTGATGCCCCTCTCAGTGTAGTTGAACAGCGTGATCCGAAAGGGCTCTATAAAGCAGCTCGTGCAGGAACAATAAAGGGTAAGTCACGACATCCATCTCTGTTAGACGAAGGCACTTACAAAATTTATATATAGACTTCACTGGCATATCTGCACCGTACGAAGCTCCCGAGAAACCTGATATACACATCAAGACAGACGAATGTGGTGTAACTAAAGCAGTCGAGGTCATCATTGAATACCTCACCAAGCATAATTATATTTCGTAGTTACCAAGGATAGCAAAAAGGCATCCATACCAAGTCCGTATAGTCCGTGTATACCTACTTATTACTGGCTATAATTTGAGGATATCTAGATGATCAAATTCTGAAAACTAGCTGGACTCTAGGACGATATCAGTTACAGAATCCCATTTCCATGCGTCCATGTCTTGCGTAAAAGAATCTCTTTCAATAGCACCTTCTTCCTGCTCTTCCGCTATAGAGTCCCCTGCGGCTTGTTCGAGCATCGTTGTAAAACCAACTTCGATTATAGACAGCCATTTTGTTAAATCATTGACAGACCGTACTAACTGCACATTCGTGGCGTCATGGCTCATGATATTACAGAGATCCAGTGGCAATACTTGAGGCCCGACAGTCGACAATTGTGCTGATAGACCAGAGTGAGATAATGAGGCAGAGTGAGAAAGGTTAGAAGGCCCGGAGGGAGAATAGCTTCGTGCAAGTGTAAGGGAAGCGCTGGAAGCATTCGCGGCAGGAAGGGAGCCAAGACTGGCGGCGCTCTTTTCACTTGTCGTCGCGGGTGATCCAAGTCCGCTAGGAGAATGTATATAAGAGCTTTTATTGTGGATAAGGGCCATGGGCGAAGGCGGGAGCAAATCTGTTAGACCCAACTGGTGCTCCGACGTAATGGTAGGCACCTAGAACGACATGAGCGAACAGTTAGATAATATGCTGTCGTTGCTACCTTCACTGCGTCTTTGAGTCCTGGCAGAATTAAACTTGCTGCAGAGCTGCCACCATCGCTGCCTTTGCTTGACGAGCTACCGCTCCTCTCTCGGGCCGCAAAAGGCCTAACAGGTGGCAAAAGAGGAGAGGTCGGAGTAGCCTCCATGACGGTAACAGAAGCTTGTGTTTCAAAAAGGATAATTCGTCAACAGTTGATGTCAATTACAACGTATATACCTTCAGCCTTCTCCTCTGGAGGTGTGTTTTCCTCTTTCATTTCCACGCCCATAGCAGTTGGAACATTGTTGGAGAGTTTCGATTTAGCTCGAGAACCTGTCCTGGGAGGAAACGCGAAATCGTTGTATTTGACCATCTGAACATCATCTGTGCTGTCTGCAATGGCTAATGTACGTTTGAATGGCGGACGATCACGTGATGGTGATGAAGAAGGAGGTGCTAGAGGTGTTGGGCTCGGAGTATCACGTAGTGGTGGAGGTGGCATTGGAGCCCGCAAGGTTTCGATTCCAAGATGCGCAAACTCATCATCAAAAAGGCCACGCAATGATGTAGGTAACCGTGCTGAAGGCTTGATAGTAGGGACTGATGGTGACGAGTCAGCTGGAAAGGTGTCCGGTAATAAATCTTCCTTCAATGCAGCTTGAAACGTCCGACGTCTTATTGTGTCGAATTCCCAAAGGTCTGTCTCTTCATCTACCACGCCTTGCAAGCTAAGAAATAACTTTAGTCAGTAAGGAGTGCTGGACAAATGATACTCACTCTCTTTTCTCCTCATTCTCCCAGTCAAGTGGTTCTGCTAAGCTATTGCGAGTACCCCCATTTTTCATCCAAGCATCGTACCGGAGTATCAGCTCCCGTAAAGTAGACACGTTTGCCTTTGACACCGATTTCATCCACTTCGTTCTTAGTAATTCATCAGCAGAAAATCGCTTGTTCCTCGAATTAATTATGCTATCAATCACGGTGACATCAAAATCCAAAAACTCACCTCATTTGGAGAGACTTTGAGACAGTGCCATACGAACTCTCGCATTTCTTTGCTACCATCCGCTTCGGCCAATTGAGGGGGTTGTACTTTGGTTATTAACTGCATGACCTTGATTGCATCCCTCAAATCTGAGTGAGGAGGTGCGCCCTTCACCATCTCATAAATCATGATGCCCAAACTCCAAATATCGGCTTTGCTATCGTACGTTGGCACTGGTTGTGCTACTTCGGGAGCCATCCAATTCGGGGTGCCCATCAGAGTGTTTCGTTTGCTCGTAGTTGTGGCAGAGAGTGCGGAGACACCAAAGTCGCAAATCATAACTTTACCGGTGGCAGTGATGAGGATGTTAGCGGCTTTGATGTCTCTATGGATGATGGCAGATTTATGTAGGTAATTGAGCCCAATGACAACCTCACGGGTGATGAGTACAATGAACCGCTCCTCAAGAACACGGTCCTTGGAAGTCTGCATGAGAGTACGGACACTTCCGCCCTGGGCGAATTCCATAGCGATCCAAACGCGCGGGCCGTCAAGATAACATCCATAATACTTGGTGACGTTGGGGGCATCGCGAAGCTGGGTTAATAGAGCTACTTCGCGTTGAATGGCTTCCACGTCGTCGTCAGCAGTGTCTAAGTTGATGATTTTTAAGGCCACGATATTTCCGGTGGGTATATGGACGCCTTTATGGACGGAACCATAGGCACCCTTGCCTACAGTTTCCAGGCGTCTGAATAGTTGATGTACGGTTGGCTGAGCAGCCATTGCGGCAAGCACAGTGCTGACAGAGGCGTCCTGGAGATTATCGATGAAGCTACACAAAGTCCCGTTAACGCAATTGTACGTGACTGTCACGATGTCACAGTAGGAGGGTATGACTCTGATCATAATGAATCGATAAAATCCAAGTCAGAAACTATCCCTGCGCGCGATGATGAACTTTGACGTTACTCCAGTTGAAGTAGTCACTCGTGAATTCGTAGCAGTCATCCTAGCGGGATTTGGGAACGAGTAAGTCCTGACACTCGGATTGACTATATCATCATTAATTTGTAGACTGCTTCCTTTGACTGGTGAACATGGTGATGAGCCCTGTCCAAAGGCGTTGCTCCCGATTTCAAATAAACCTATGCTCGACTATCCCTTGTCATGGGTCGAGCAGTCTGGTATCAAAGGTGGACTTGATAACTTCATACAACTTGTTTGGATCAAGGATGTGCTTATCAAGTATCAGATGTCCTTTTGATCTGTCCTTCATCACACCGCTCTGCAATATCACATTATATCCACTCACAGTCTTCGTCTGCATCCTTCTCTTCCGTTCACATTGACCTCCAGACTTTCGATGAATCACAGGAACTAAGTGCAGGGACGTGCTCCGTACTTCGCCATTTCGCCAACCGCATCAAGGAAGATTTCATTCTCATCCCTTGCGACTTCATACCGCCACCTTCCCTACCTTTATCAAAGCTGCTCAACAAGTTCCGCACGGACACGATGTCGGATGGTTCCATTGTGACTTCGTGTTGGTATGAACACAAATCAGACAAGCAAGCCACTCAAGACGAGTGGGGTTGGGGTTCTCCAGCAAAACCAACTCCGATCGTATGGGATCATCTCAGTGGCACCCTGTTATATGTAGATAGTCCTTATGAAACTGATAAAAACAGGCACGAACTGGAGTTGCGCATGACCTTACTCTCAAGGTGATTTATATCGTTCCGCAGTTGTGTGTGGTGACTCAATTCTTTAGATATCCACAGGCAAAGTTGTCTTCGATGCTGCTAGACTCGCATGTTTACGTTTGTAAACGTGCTGTGCTCGACTTGTTGGCCCGGAAGACTCGGTTTGACTCTCTCAGAGACGACTTCTTTCCTTGGTTATGCAAATTGCAATACCAATCGACTAAGCAGGAAAAATATGCTACGAGCATTCGAATAGGAATCATAATTCATCGAGCGGATGACGGGTTCGCTATTCGCGTCAACAATCTACCAGCGTACCTCGAAGCAAATCGTCATGTTTGTCTTCTTCTTGTCCTAATCAGATTGATTATCACTGAAAATGAGATACATCAGTTCGTAGCTGACACCTCCATCGGAGACTTCACACGTGTCGAAGAGAAGTCAACCATTAAAAATTCTACAATAGGAAAACATTGTGTTATCGGAAAGATGGTGAAGATTGTGGGATGCGTTCTCATGGATCATTGTGTGATTTCTGATGGGTGTGTAATCTTCAATTTATTATCTGACAATGACATACCCTACTCCAGGGCAAAGCTGGATGCATGCATCTTGGGCAACAGTACTACTGTAGGAACGAAAGCGGAGTTGGTAAAATGCGTTACCCAGGCTGGGTACGAAGTAAAAGATAATGGTGAGCCAACTATCCTGCTCGCTTACTTCAGCAGCACAACTAATCATTCTTGACAGAATCAGTGCGACATGAAAAGCTTGACATTTCAGACTGGGCCGCGCAGCCGGAAGACAGCGAAGACGATGATGAAGACAGTATAGGAGAGGAAGAAAGCGACGAAGACGAAGATGAAGACGAAGCCTAACCAGCTAGAATCACGTACTTTCTGTGGAAGGCTTGTATACAGTGCATAGACAACGCAAGACAGAAGTACACCGTTCACTCAGAAGACAACATGAACATCATGCTGTCATCTAATTTCCAAGATCTTATGCAGATTGGGATCCTTGCGCAGGCTTCTTCGTGTCCTGTCTTCCCTCTGCCAATGTTCTGTGGTGACTCACCACTTTTACTTTGTCACCGGCCGTCACCCCAGCCTACCGTCAAGTTTGATACCATGGAACTTTCAATTCTTTTTTTTCGTGCGATATGAAATGTTACGTGTGCCATTCCTTGCTCTTTAACATACACTCAGTGGTAAATTGTGAGAGCGATGTATAGAAAATCTCTTCAAGTGACTTGTCTAGTCTGGCAACACACTTGGCGCTCAGTAAAAAAATTCGTCATCGAAGTAAGCTGACATAGTGTACAAGTGTTCTTCCAAATACAGCCTACTGACATCACTGTCTCCGCCGTTCTGCACGATAGCGCTCTGCAAGATATCTGCAAGCGAATCTTAGCATCAGCAGACGCAGAGCAGTACCATCTTACTCACCCTTCGCCACCCCAAAGCGTGAGCAGGCCAAATGCAACAGCGGTGACGACATCCCGGTTCCACTTAGGTTTGTGCCAGTTTGCATAGCTGTAATACCCCACTGCTCCAAGGATTGTTGTGTTTACTAATAAAAGGGGGGATGAACATTTCAAGAAATTGGCAAATGGTTTTTCGCTGACCTAGTCCGACCAAACCGCCCAAGACACCCGGACGAAAAACGTGTTCTCGAAGCTGCTTGTAGATGAGGGTGCCCTCCTCACGCGCGCGTCGTTCTTCCTGGCGGCCGATAGGGGTTTGTCGATACTTCTGTACTGCGTAACCTTCAGTCCCGATCAATAGCAGTGCTCCTGCCGCTGCCGAGCTGATGGCAGTGAAATTCTGACGAAGACTGGGTTTCGTGTAGAATCCGTAGCCCACACGAGATAGAAGGCCGATATTCACTTTGGGATAACATTGTCAGTCAATACAAGAGATTGAAGGAAATCGGACCGTACCTAAGCCAATGAGACCACCAGCAACGCCTGGACGAAACAAATAGTGCTTTGTGACCTCCCACAAATAAATACCTTCCGCTTGGGCCTCCTGAAGGCGCTTATGACCTTTACCTGTCACCGCTTTCCTGCCTGGGTCGACAAGATCATCATCAATGTCTTCTGGAACATATTTTTTGGAGGTGTATGTCGCAGGGTTCTCTTTAAAATCGCTTGAAACGACATTTACTTTAGAAGTGTCGTCAATAACATTACTTGCAGAGGAGCGTTCGGTCGTGAGGAGCGCAGGATCCGGACGAGGCTGAGGGGCATAGTGAGCACGACCCAGTAGTATTCCAATTTTCGCAAGTACATACCTGCTCAGACGAAGGAGGAGCATCGTGAGCAGCAACAGAGGCGTAGGACATATTACGAGATTCGAGGTTTGGTTCAGAGACTAGAACGTTCAATGTGAAGGTGTGGCACGTCTCATGTTTTTGGAACAGTATGACATGACGTCACTTTACTGCGTCATAGGAGACACTTGCCTTTCTCGTCATTTTGGGAAAGTGTATATGATGGCAGATTTATGTGCTACTAACTGAAAATACGTTATGTAGGTGATCCATGTGTGCATGAAGGTGTATCCTGTAAGAGGGAGTACGGAAACGAC